CCCCCTGCGACATGTTTACAGCAGGAGACTCGAAGACAGGTGATCCGGAGACCTGACCCGAGCATCTGGGAATCACGAGCAGAGACCGGCAAGCTAGTGACACGAGGGGTCAACAGGTGCTGTTTGTGTGGCTGGCCGGTGTTTGAGCCATCGGGAGCTGTCACGCAAGAAGTCAGGTTTGAAGCTTTTCACTCGGAGTGTTCCCGTGTGACCAAGGCTGAAGAGCATCAGGCCTTCCAAGATGGGCGATGTGACTTGACTAAGAAATGTTCACGCACACTGCTGGGGAGACGGCTCATGAGATCCCGGGTTCGGATCCCTGGCAAACATGTAAAACAAAATAAAAAACAAAACAAAACAAAACTGCAAAATCTTAAGCATACAAAAGCAGGTAGGGCAACAAACGCCTGGAATCCCAGCCCTGGGGAGCAAGAGACAGTGGTGCTCCTGGAACTCAGTGGCCAGCCAGTCTAGCCATTCAGGGAGCCCCAAAGTCAGCGAGAGACCCTGCCTCGAAAAATGAGGGGTTGAGTGGGGGTGGGGGGTGGGAGGCTTTTTCTGAAGGCATGAGCCCTCTGAGAAAGCTCAGCGGGAGAAACAATCATTTCCAGGCGTTCCCCGAGGTCCCCCGAGAGACTGTACCTCCTCGGTGCCCGGTGACCTGTGTTCAGTGTGGAAGGAAGGCTTCATGCTCCCTGCCTTGTCGGGGGATGAGGGTGGGGAGGTGGGGTAGGGTGAGGGGTGGGGTGGGGTGGGGCAGGGCGGGGTGGGGTGGTACCCAAGATAAAAGGTTTAGAAAGGCAAGACATCATCTCGCCCCAGAAGATTTTTCCCTCTTCTACTTTGCTTGTTTACTTGGTAAGCAGACAAGGGAGCAGGGAATGTTCTGGTAGGAATACATGGCCTGAGGCAGGCAGTCAGAACTTTCCCTGCTGCCAGGAACATCCCAAACAGAGCCTTGAGTGTTTAAGAATCCCTGGGGCCATTCAGAGCCAGCTTGGGTAAATGTGGAGATGGGGGTGGGGTGGGGGTGGGGAGTGGAGGGGGTGGGGTGGGGTGGGGTGGGGATGGGTGTAGCCCCTGCCAGTGTACAGCAGGGAGATGGGGGGGTGTCAGCAGCTTCCCCTCCCCTCCGAGTGAAGGACCCATCTTTGAACCCTGCATCTGAACTCTGATGGCACAAATGCATCACAACAGCCACATTGAGCCTGCCTGTAGTCGAGGGAACTCCAGGGTGCTTTCAACACTTAAGCCTCCAATCTTTGGAGTCAGAGGCAATGATGATGCCACAGAGTCGCCAGGAACTCAGCCTCCTTTTGCTCTTGTCTTTCATGTAAGGCACCATGTCAGGCGTTATGTTCCTGTTCCAGGCAGGAGGAGGAAGCGGGGGGGGGGGTGTTAATCCTCTCTCCTTCAGTGCAGGCTAAACCTAGAGACCTGCGTGTAAGGAAAAGGATGCTGTAGTCCAGGGAGAGAGGGGGGAGGTAGGGAAAGAAAGAGGGAGAGACAAGAGACAGGGGAAGGGGAGAAGGAGGACAGGGAAAAGTGGAGACTGGGAGGGAAAGAGACACAGAGAGGGACTCAGAGACACAGAGACACAGAGAGGGCGAGAAAAAGAGGGAGGGGAGAGAGAGAGACAGGAGAGAGAGACAGAGAGGAGAGAGAGACAGAGAGAGACAGACAGAGACTCAGAGACACAGAGAGGGCAAGAAAAAGAGGGAGGGGGAGAGCGACAGAGAGAGGAGAAAGAGAAAGAGGAGAAAGAGAGAAAGAGGAGAAAGAGAGAGAGAGGAGAGAGAGAGGGAGAGAGACAGAGAAAGAGAGAGAGAGAGAGAGAGAGAGAGGAGAGAGATGAAAGGGTGAAAGGGGAAGGAGTTGAAAGGAAGAATTACTGCGCCCTGGGTGGTGACTAGACTCAGGGAAAGTCCTGGGTGGTGACTAGATCCAGGGAAAGCCGGCACATCAGAAAAGACTCCTGCTCCTGAGACACACAGGACCCTCTCCTTGCCCGCCCTTCTGCCCATCCCTCTCTTCATACATCAGGGGGGCAGCCCTGCTAAGTTGCACCTGGTTTCTTTTACCCCTTGGAACCTTCAACGGAAGCGGTGCTTGTCATTTTTGCCAGTTCAGTTTTGTGTTGTGGATGTCTGTGCCACAGCAGTGGGAACACATCCTCTGTCCCTGCCGTGGACAGTTGGCAAATACGATGTAAATAGAGGCGGCTGTCACAGCCTCTCTGAGCCTGGACCTGGCTGTCTCTCCTCCCAGGTGGCCTGAGAGCAGCAGCTGAGCCAAGGCCTTGCTTCACTCCCTGCCCCTGGGCTCTTGCCCTGCAGTTCTCTTAGTGCGGCGGGGCTGTCCACGCTGTGGTTCCGTGTATGCAGGACACAGGCCAGGCTCAGGAAAGGCCTGGGAGATACTCGCCCCATGTGTTGTAGCCCCGCCAGGGGCCCAGACTCTCCTGCCATGGGGCTCCACGGCTTCTGTGGAGCACAGGCTGTTCCCAAGTAGGTGATCGTTTCCCTGGGACTAGCTTCATGAGCGAGAAAAGAGGACAATCAGTTTAACACACCGTGCTGCTTCAGAGGGCTGAGCTCAACTCAAAACAGAATATTCTAATATGCCTTTTGTTTTTTTTTTTTGGTCAAGCCATGGATAACTTGAACAACAAAACAAAACAGAAATCCAGGCAGCATGTGGCGTATGACACCACTTAACGACCGCGCACACACACGTGCATGCATGTGGAGTGCTCTCCCGACATGCATGTCTGCGTTCTGTCCACAGCAGAGCTTTGGATCGTGCTTATTTTCTTCTTTATGCATTTCCACATATTCAATCACTTGTTTACATTTTATTTGCCCCCCCGCCCCGTGTGTGTGTCTGTGTGTGTGTGTGTGTGTCCGCGTGTATGTGTACATGCCCGCATGTGTGCACGCTAGGGTGAATGTCAAGATGGAAGCCAGAGGACAGTGTGGTTTTCCTTTCTGTCCTTTATTTCCCCCCCGAAGGAAATCTGACACCCAATAAATCCACTTTTCATTTTGAAGAGACAAACTCTATGTTCTTCTCTGGCTGTGTACTACGTTACATCTACCAAGTAATTATACAGGTTTCATCTCTCTCGAAATCTCAGTGATTCTAAAAGTGTAATGCAATTATCCCCAACTTATAGACACCATAGCCTGAGGCTCGCAGAAGGGAAAGGAGGGCTCTTTCTGTATCCTGTTTCCCTAATCCTACATTTCACTGGTAAAGAATTTTATCTTACGCTTTGAGGCCTATGTGATTCGTACTAGCCATGTCTCTTTTTAGTTTGCCCATCTGTGAAATGGGCTAATGCTGCACCTACCCATGGGGCATTTGAGAGATTTAAGCGTGGCAGTGCATGTGAAGCACAGGACTAGCCTCTCCCCCATAGCTGTCGCTTGATGTCGGTTCTTGCAATTTTTGGCCAACTTTGGAGTAGGCGTCTCCCTGTTCTGGTCTACTTCGTCATGCAGAGAAGTGAATGGGTTGATGGTGGCTGGGATGTCTGCACTCGAACTCCCCAGTTCTTGAGGTATGTGAAGCAGAGTTGACTTTGAGAAATGGGATGGCAGGGGGAGCAGTTGTCACTTACTCATTCTCTGCCCAGCAAATTAATGACAAACGGAACTCATGTGACAGGGGCTGGGAAGGTTCCCAGTCAGCAGTGTTGGCCAAGCAGTCGTGAAGACTCTGAGTCCCGTCCTCGGGAGCCTCAGTGCATGCCTGGGGGGCAGAGACAGGAGGACTCCTGGGGCTGGTGGGGAGCCAGCCTAGCTGAGTTGACAAGTGGTGACCAGAGTGTGATCCCTGGAATCCATTTGCAGGTGGAAAGAGAATACTCACCATGTGTGCACTGTGGCTCACGTGCCCACGCACAGACATCATGTGCACACATGTACACAATCATCACGAAAGTCAGATGGAGAACAGCAAAGGAAGACTACTGATGTCACCTCTGGCCTTCACATGTGCAAGTGAATGTACGCGTGCATGCACACACACTCACTCACTCACACACACTCACACACACACTTACATATTCACACACTCACTCACACACATACTCACACACTCACCCACATTCACACACACCCACTCACTCACACAGACACACTCACTCATACACACACTCACACACTCACTCACATATACTCACACACACTCACTAACACACTCACCCACATACTCACTCACACACTCACACACACTCACTCACACACACTCACACACTCACACACACACTCACTCACACACACACTAAATGGCAGGGAGAGAGAGTATATAAGGCATAGAGCAGCAGAAGCTACACTCATCCTTTTAACAAACACGCACTCTTCGTGGGCAACATTAGCCCAGTGGCGACAGAGTCCCCAAGCCCTAATTACCCTTCGTTAGGTGCCTTTAACTGTGATCTGGTGACCTGACAGTCATGAGAGGGATGATTAGGAGGTGGGAGGAGCCGGTGGAAGGGAAAATCGAATGTTAGCGGGTGGTTGGATGGGATTCAAACACAGAAACCAGAGATGGAGACAGCACGGTGGAATCCGCCAACCCGTGTGGCTAATATTCATCAGTGACCGTAATGCGTAGCACGTAGGACAGTGACCCAATATCTGAACACTGCAGAGCGTGGGCAGGGTGTCCCCGCCATAGGACAGCCAGCTGCACATGCCCGCAGAGGTGGCGCACGGGCTGGTTCTGTGCATCAACTTGACCCAAGCTGGAGCCGTCAGAGAGGAAGGAGCCTCAGCCGAGGATCTCAGCCTCCATGAGATCCAGCTGGAAGGCATTTTCTCAATTAGTGATCAATGCGGGGCCCAGCCCATGGTGAGTGGTTCATCCCTAGGCCGGTGATTCTGCGTTCCGTAAGAAAGCAGGCTGAGCAAGCCCCGGGGAAGCAAGCCAGTAAAGCAGCTCTCCTCCATGGCCTCTGCTGTCAGCCGCTGCCTCCAGGTTCCTGCCCTGTTTGGGTTCCTGTCCTGACTTCCTTCAGCGATGGACAGCAAAGCTGAAGTGTAAGTCAAATAAGCCCTCTCCTCCCCAGCTTGCTTTTAGGTCATGCTGTTTTGTTGCAGCAGTAGAAACCCTAACTAAGACAGCTGGGTTACCTGGAGGAAGGCTTGGGCAGGGAACAGGTGCCTGGGCGTGGCCAGCACCTCACTGCCCTGCTCCTTGTCAAGCGCCACCCTGGCTGCAGGGGTGCTGAGACTGTTCTGAAGAGGTGTTCTCTCGGTTCCAGTTGTACGAGTCTGCTTTGGCTCACTTGTGTTGGACTGCAGAATGTGCGGCAAGTGTGTGTGGGGTTCGTGCCTCATCATAAATCTGAGGCTTGGACATGGCATTTCTGTCTTCAAAGGTCTGCGGGGAGCCTTGTGGGAGTTTCCTGACTCAGCTGAGCTGATGATGACAGGGGTGGCTCTCTGGTAGCTGCTTGCAGAGGAAGTAGGTTCATGATTCTGGAACTAAGGAGGGATAGTAGGGCCAGGGGACATCTGTCTAGAACAGGCAGTTGGCTAGTGACATGATCGGTCTTTGGACTGTGACCTACCCTTTATTAAAATTGCAGTTGATAACAGCCTTTGTCGTGGTGTTCATGGGCTTCTCTGGTGGAAAGTGACCAGTCCCCAACATTAGTCAACAGTAAAAGAGTCATTCTGTCTCTGCTTTTTGGTTTTTCAAGACAGGGTTTCTCTGTGGCTTTGGAGGCTGTCCTGGAACTCGCTTTGTAGACCAGGCTGGCCTCGAGCTCACAGAGATCTGCCTGCCTCTGCCTCCCGAGTGCTGGGATTAAAGGTGTGCACCACCAACGCACGGCTGTCTCTGCTTTTTGAAGACAGGGATGAGTTTAGAAGACGGTAGCAAGGGAAAGGAAATGTCAGGGGGAGGGGTTTTGAGCAAGTGAAGGAGGCCTCACCGCATACCCCACCCATTTTTCTACCTCCAGTTCGGCAGCTGAGGAAACAACAGAGCCTGGGCTCCCCTCCCCCATCCTCTCATGCGCCTGTCCCCCTTCCATCCTCCAGACACTCTGGTGGCCACTGCCCTGCTCATATTATTAATCCTTCTACCAGGGCTCCCTGCTGGCCCAAGTTCCTACGCCTGGGGATGTCAGGCAAGGTCCTTGGCGACCGTGGGGAGTGGTACCTTCTTCCCAGCCTCTTTCCCTCCAAGCTTGACTCAGGCTGCCAGGGCTGGGATCCCTTTGGGTATCATCTCATGTTTCTTCCTTAGGAAAAAACAATAAAATCAAAATAGCTTTCATTTCTCGTGTCTCACGTCACAGAAGCCGGTCTCAACCTTGTTATGCAACCAAGGTGACCTTGACCTTCGGATCTTCCTGCCTCCACCTCCCGATGCCACGATGTTAGGAGCTTGTGCCTGCACGCCCCGTTTCCACAATGCTGAGGACCCAGTCCAGGTTCTGCAGAAGCTGGGGGTGGGGCAAAGCTCCACCGGCCAAGCCGCATCACCAGCCTGGAAAGAGTTTTCTTAACACAGACCTCATTGGGATCAGCTGGTGGTGGTGGCGGCAGTGGGGGTGTGGGGTGAGGGGTGAGTGGGGGGTGACACAGAGGCAGGACTGTGACATATTTTGCCTCCTAAAGGTGCAGCAGACTCTGATTGTGTATGGAGGGCCAACAGGACTTGGTGCAGAGGCCTGAAAACTACTGATTTTTATTCAAGTTTCCCCTGTTGTATAGCTGTGGGGTCATTAGCTTAGGGTCTCTGGCACGTTGCAAAGCCTGGACTCAAAATTAGTCTCCTAGGTAGGGGTAATGACCTTGCTCCCACGATTTATTGTTATTTGAAATTATAAAGTGCAATTATATCAAGTCTCCCTTCCCTCCTCCCCCCCATTCCTTACCATGGCTTTCCCCTGGCTTCCCTTTAAATTCATGACCTCTTTAAAAAAATTGCTATTGACACACACACACACACACACACACACACACACACACACACACACACACACCACACACACACACACACACACACACACACACACACACCTTGCTCAGTCTGCTTAATGTTACTTATGTGTACACTACTTCAGGGCTGACAAATTGTTATTAGGTAACTAATTAGGGGGCTCACCCCGGTAAAGACGTTTTCCCCGCCTCAGCACCCCTTAGTTCTTTGTTTACAGTTGGGGCCCTGTGAGATCTCCCCCAGCATTGTCTGCATGTCTGTTGATGTCACCCCTGTTCATGTCTTGTTTAGGCAGCCATGTTGGGTGGAGATTCCCTGTCGTTTCTTGGAGACATAATCTCACAGCAGATTTTCCAGTCTTCTGGCTCTCACAGCCTTCTCTTGCTCCCTACATCTTCCATGGCGTCCCCTGTTGCTCCTACATCTCCCATGGCGTCCCCTGTTCCTCCTACATCTTCCATGGCGTCCCCTGTTCCTCCTACATCTTCCATGGCGTCCCCTGTTGCTCCTACATCTCCCATGGCGTCCCCTGTTGCTCCTACATCTTGCCATTGCTGCCCACAACGGTTTAGGTCATAAGCTCCCTTGAGGCGTTATTAGACTCTACCTCCAAAGTTCTCCCCCCAAAGAACAAGGGAGGTGCTGTAGCCTTGCCAGTGTGTCTCTTTCCCAGGCTTTAAGTTCCATCCGAGCAGTCCAATAGTCATACTGCTCTACAGTCTACAAAGTCACTGTAGGATCATACTGCTCTACAGTGTCACTGAAACCCACAAAGTCACTGTAGGATCATACTGCTCTACAGTCCACAAAGTCACTGTAGGATCATACTGCTCTACAGTCCACAAAGTCACTGTAGGATCATACTGCTCTACAGTCCACAAAGTCACTGTAGGATCATACTGCTCTACAGTCCACAAAGTCACTGTAGGATCATACTGCTCTACAGTGTCACTGAAACCCACAAGGTCACTGTAGGATCATACTGCTCTACAGTCCACAAAGTCACTGTAGGATCATACTGCTCTACAGTGTCACTGAAACCCACAAGGTCACTGTAGGATCATACTGCTCTACAGTCCACAAAGTCACTGTAGGATCATACTGCTCTACAGTGTCACTGAAACCCACAACGTCACTGTGGGGACCTGCTTTCCTTGATGGCTTGCTGCGTGCCCCCCATCAAACGTTATCTCACTCTTAGGGGATGTCTTTCATCCAAGCACATTTCCTGACGTCCTATGAAGAGTAGGATCCCATTCTCTGGTGATTTGTTTTACCTTCATATCATCCTGTGACATCTCCAGCACCCACTGGAAATGAAAGGTGGCTTGATGGGGGAGATGAAGTCCTTCTGTGCATGTGTTTGTCTTATTGGTTGATAAATAAAGCACTGTTGGCCAATAGGGAAGCAAGATAGGTGGGACTAGGAGTCAAGGAGGATTCTGGGAAATGCAGTCAAGAGTGGAGAGTCTCCATGTGATCCTGGGAGGAGAGGACGCCAAGTCTGGTGTTCTCGGTAGGAGAAGACCTTGAAAAAAATATATATGTATATTAGAGTTACGGGTTAATAATTAAGTCAGAACTAGCCATTAAGAAACCGTAGCAAAGGGCCAACAGCTTCATAATTAATATAGCGCCTCGTGTGTTATTTGGGGCTGAGACAGTGGCGGGACCTAGCAGCTGGCGGGAAGGAGTACACGGTACAGTGGCTTTCTCCTAGTCTCCCATGGGGCCCCTGTGTGTCTCTAGCCCGGCAGGTTTCAGTGGAGGCTGGTGACGATAAACTTTCCTCTAGCCACCGTGCTGGATGGTGAGACTCGGGTCCTGCCGAGTGATGGTGACTGTGCTTTTCAATTCACACTCAGCTTGTCACGCCCAGTCTAACGCAAGGGGCGCGGGAGGCTGGGTTGGGTGGGCGGTGAACCTGCTTGTTCTAACTAATCTGAAAGTGGACTTCCCGAGGGACAGTGATGACATAACTGTAAGGATTCAGGCACTATGCTGGCCTGCCCTTCTCACCTGGCAGAATGCACTCAGGCAGTACTCTGGTCAGCACACAGGTGCAAAGGACCCCTGTATGCTGCCTTTCCTGCTCTTCCCCAGGGGCAGACAGGACTTTTCCTGTCTCCCTCTTCTCTTCTGTCCTCTCTTTGTCTCTGTGTCTCTTTACCTCTGTTCTTTCTCCGTCCCCCCTCCCTCTCCTTCCTAATAAAACTTCTTACTTAATCTCTGTCTGCCTTGGTCATCCTCGCCTGCCGTGGAATCAGCCAAGGTTCCCCTCGCGATTAATCATAACAATAACTAACATTAATTTTTGCACTGATAAGGTACCAGGTTGCATGCTAGGTGATTTACATGCATTTTATTTGTTTGCTTGCTTGTTTAATTTGTGTGTGTGTGTGTGTGCGTGTGCATGTCCACACAGTGCATGTGTGCAGGTCGGAAGACAGCTTATGGGGATTGGTTCTCTACTTGCACCCTGTGCGCTCTGGGAACCAAACTGAAGTCATGAGGCTTGAGGGGTCTGCCTTTAGCTGATGGTCTATTCCTGTGGCTCACGTCTTTTTTTTTTAATTCACACAATAATCCTATGGAGTAAATTCATTATGTTCCTGGGAAGAAACTGGAAGCCCACAGAGGTCTGATAGCAAGCAAAATGGAGGAGCTTCAAAGGAGTAGACACACAATGATTACCCCTCTGCATGTGATTCTATCTCTGTGTCAAAGCTGGGGAAACAAACTCTAGAAAGAAGCTGACAGCCAAAGGTTGAGCTGTATCAGCATCCAAGGAAGACAATGGTTTCTTGAGAGCCCCAGTTGACCCTTAATGCGTAGGGAGTGACCGTTAGAGTTGGTACTGGATAGATGCATGAGTTCCAGACGGCTTCTCCCCTTGACTGGAACTGGCTAGCCCAAAGGTAAATATACACCTGACCACAGGGTTATCAGTGTGGCATCTAACCAGTGACTTACTACATTCTCCAGGCAAGTCTGGAGGGAGATGTAGGAACTGGGGACAGTCAGTTTTGATCTCCTGGTCTATTGAGGAATCAGAGTGGAAGAGAGAATTAAGGCAGGTGTCATT